GGGGGTTTTTTTTTTTTTTTTTTTTTTTTTCTTTTTTGCGCTCACAAACGCGGTCCGAGGGCCTCAAAAGTCAGGTCCCACGCCTGGATGAGCTCCGAAGAGCGATAGGAGACCTGGATCGCATTGCCGCCTCCTCCTTTGATGCGAGCATTGATGGTTACATTTTTCACCAGCGCGTTGGCCAGATCCTCGTACACTTGAGGCTTGAAGCTCAGCAGGATATTGCCCGTATCGTCTTGGTTGAACTTCAATTCGCGGTCATCGATGGTAAGGTTGCGAATCGTCTCGAGCGAAAGGGTGATGTTCTGCAGCGCTTCTCCTTGAAAAGGGAGCGCCGGAAGTGCATCGGTGGTCAGACTGCCGGCAGGCAGGCAGGCAGGCAGGATCATTTCAGCTCGGTCGGGAAGCGATGAATGGCAGCGCGGGAAAGAGGGGCATCACGTCACTTACATAGGGCTCGCCTCGTCTAGGATGTCTGCGACCCATTCATCGCGCAGCTGATCACCATAAATGACGGTAGCGTTGCGGAGGCCATCTGCCACTGTAGCGGCGTCTCCCAGCAAGAGCGTGGGAAAGAGTCCGTGTCCAGCTTCAAGTCTGGCTTGCAATTTGTCGAAGCTAGGAAGCGCCACCGTCGGGGACAGCACAGTAGCGCTGGCGGCGACCACAGCAATGAGGAGAGTGAAGGGAGTCATGATGTGTGTGGGGGGGGAGCAAAGGGAGGGATTGCGGAACGAAATGGAAGAAAAGGAGCGGAAGATGGTGGGGATCGAGGTTCGGACGACGAGCGAACAGTCTCGTGGAGCAAGCGACAATGCCTGCTCTTAGACCCTGTGTGCGGGGCTGCGGGGCTTGCTGAGCTGCGATCTGTGGTGTCAAGCCGAAGCGACATGGAAATGCTCTGAAATTTCGCTTCGCGAGGCTCGACGCGGTACTGTATATCGCCCTAGTGCTCGAGAAGCACTCGACGCTATTGGTTTCAAAGAAAGAGGCAAAAAGAAAAGTCAGTGCCATTGCGCACTTTGGCCAGCCCTCGTGACGTATCGGCAAAGCGCAGTGCGTCCCGCGAGTAGGGCGGGGTAATCGGCGTGGTGCACAAGCTTTAGGGCAGACATGCGCGCGAATCAGCAGTCAATGAGTGGGGCGGGAGAGAGCAGAGTAGGGCTGCGAATTTGAAACTGGGAGCAGCATCAATCACCTCGACGCCTCTTACCTACCGATGATGTGCAAAGTTGTGCTGCTTATTGATGGACAAAGTGTGCTGCTGGCCCCTGCTCTCTCGAGGATGCGATCAAGTTGGTTGGTAAGCACGAGCCGCAGTCAGAGTGCATGCAACGACTGCATCCTCGTCAATCACAATGACGCGCGTGCGGTCAGTGCCGTATCTAACACGGCACGAAGTGCCCTGTGGTGACCGTGTTCCTGTCTGAACAGAACATTCTGCCATCCCTACTCGCGTGTAGGTGCAACGCTTGGAGGACGAAGACGAGGCTGAGCTCCATGCGCTTCATGCACAAAGTGTGGCTCGAGCTCAGACGAGACGATATTTGGATTCGAGGTCTGCTGGACGCGGCCCGGCTGATCCTAGAGACATGCCGCAGAGGCTTAAGCAAGGGAAAGGGGGATGCCCTGCCCTCACTTACCTTGCATCGTCGCAGATTAATCAAAAAAGGACTTGTCTACGGCAACCGTTTCGCCGGAGTATGCACTCGAAAGTGACGACGATGGAGCGGAGGATTGGCAAGGTGCGACACATACGATGACAAAGTGAGCCTGCATGCGCGCTTCCAGCTTTCGCGTTCGTGTGGCATTGCGTAGCGTACGATCGTATCTGTCCGGAGTTTTGGACAATCTTGGCATGAAATCGTCCGGTTCCTGAGTGTGCGTGAGCTGCAATACCCCGCTACAAATCCATGTACCGTTTCGTCTACGAGTGGAGCAAAACGGTGAGAGGGAGCAGAGGAAGGGTGCAAAGTGCATTCATTGTATTCCAGTCAGTCTTGAGCGCACCATTTAGATCGCACCACTCGTGACTTACGAGCAGCGGATCGGGGTGCTCGCCGGCCAGACGCAAAGGTAGGAATGAGCGACCAATTGCATGCAGCTAGCTGGAGCCAAGGGGACATGTGCTTGCAACGCGCGCCTTGGCAAACCTGGAGCAGATGATGATGATGTTCATTCAGCCTTTGGGCAAAGTAGGTAGACTTTGGCATCGGACTTGCGAGCCGCGCGGGCTTTCTTTTCAGCAAGTCTGCACCCAATACTCTGACTGACCGACGTGATGGCACATGCTTCAGTCAGAGTACAGTACCTCCCTCGGTGCAGAGGTGTGCAGTCAAGTGTCTCGACATTGCAAGCACAATACAATCTCAAGGGAGCATCACAAGTCTGACAAGGAAAACAAAAGCAGCGTGGGTGGGCTCATTGCGGGAGCAAGATGCCATGCCGGCTGGTCATTCACGATTCTCATTCTGATCCATCACTCCTCCATCCATCCATCCATCCATCCATCCATCCACCGGCGCGCATCCTGATTTGGGGTGAGATGCATCCATCCACTCGGACTGGACTAGGACTAGAAAGAGGCGAATGAGGATTGTTTGAGCGTTGATGATGCTTGCCTGGTATGCCAACTCCACCTTTGCACGATGTTCGCATGCGTGCATGCATGCACCAGATGACTTGGGCTCACGTGATCGCCTGTTCCCACGCTGCATTTCCGCGAGTCTTTGAGTGTGAGTCCAAGTCAAAACTCAAAAAGTGGAGGATGGCCGCGGTCGGTCGATCGGCATTCAGGATTGTGATTTGCTGCAATCAAGGCAGAGAGAGCAGTCAGAGTGAATCATTTCATCCTCAAGTCAAGAGTCTGCTCAGTCTTTGTGCAGCATCTGCCCCACCACCCACTCACTGCCCCCATCGCCTCGTCCTTCCACTCACTCACTCTCTCTCTCTCTCTCCGTTCCTTGCTCATCATGTCCACTCGTACCTCTAACGAGTCCACACCCCTCCTGCCATCAGCTGCATCTGCATCCGCATCCGCATTCGCATCTGCGCGCAATCATGACGACCATGCATCCAGCAGCAGCAGCAGCAGCAACAGGCCCGTCGCTGCACCTCGATACTTTTCAGATCAAGTAGAGACGCAGAGCAGAGCAGCAAGTATCGCTTTGGCTTTGCAGTGCATCGTCGCTGGTTTCGTTGATGCTGCTGCCTATGGCACCACCAAGACCTGGGTCGCATTCATGGTGAGCCACGCATCCATCCACATCCACGCGGGCAGGGCAACTGATCTCATCACGTGCACTGATCATCACCTCCCCTACGACCTCTTGCTGTGCCTCTTGTCTACCTGTAGACGGGCAACTTGACGCAGCTCATGATCTCGCTCGTCAGTCTGATCTCCATTTCCATTCGTCGTCCCGCACTCGATGCCCACCACATCGCCATCCTCAACACCACCAGCACGCTACCCCGCGATGAGCTGTTGCAGCGTCTTTCCCTCAGTCTCTCTTCCATCCTCGGCTTCTGCCTCGGCGCTTACCTCTGCCAGCTAGGCATATCACGCTTCGGATCCTCTCATCGTGCCCGCTTGCTCTTCACACCCCTGTGCGGCTCCATCGTAGCCTGCGTCATTGCTGCACTGGCATTCTTCGATCATCGGCAGGGCTGGCAACTTGCAGGTCGGTGGGGTCCCATCATGCTGGGCTTGCTTGCCGTCAGTATGGGTGCTCAAGCTGCTCAGGGTCAAAGGAGCGGTAATGCGCCTTGGGCCACAACCGTCGTCTTTACAGGTGAGTCAGAGTGTTCGGTTCGGTGCGGTGCGGTGCAAACGTGGAATCAGCAGAACCTCCGCAGAGGCTT